TGCCCCTGACTTTCCACTAACAGCCCCCCAACCCCGCAGCCGCCAAGGATACAGGGCCAGAGACCCAGGTCTGCAGCCCCTGCTGCCTGTGGGAGACAGCGGCTCCTGCAGCTGAGTGGGACGTAGAGCCCGGCTCCACCTTCCTCATGGGTGGCGAGGCTGGAGTGGAAACTGTTATGGGGCAGATGCAAGCTGTCTTCTGCAAACTTGGGCTCCCTGCCTTGCTGCCCTCCCACTAGGACCTCTGTGGCGCAGCAGGTGGGACCCAGCGTGGCAGAGCAGAGCTGTGTGGAGCAGGGCTGGGTGAGGAAGCTCTTTGCTGCTGCAGGCTCCCCACTGCCCAGGTGAGGTGCCTTCTGCCTGCCTGGCAGCAGCAAGGGACACAACTGTGCCATCGCCCCTACTGCTGCTGGGTGGGTAGGGGGCGTCTTGCCAGGGTGGCGGGCGGGTCGCAGCAGCAAGGAGCCTCCCTGCCCAGCCCTGCTGTGCTGGGTCCAATCTGCTGGACTGCAGAGGGCCCAGAGAGGAGGCAGCAGCAGGGCCAGGAGCCCAAGCCTGTAGGGGGCAGCCTGCCCCACCCTGCACACATCTGGGCAGCACATGCCGTCCACTGGAAGTGCAGTGGTGGAGAGTCAGCTCCACTATCCCCCCACCCCCAGAAAAGCTGCCCACAGCCCCATCCTGCTCCCTTCTGGGGCCCCGAGACCACGCATTCCAGCCCCAGGCCCCAGCTCTGCCGAACTCCCTGCCTCTCTATGGGGGCCCTCAATCCCCTCTCCCCCTCCACCAGACTTACCTGTGGGAGCTGCTCTCTAGCCATGTGCATGTGGGAGTGCACACATGCACATTGTGACCCCTGCCTTACTGCCCTTTTCCCCACTCCCCCCAGACCCTTGCAGGGTGGCGCTCTACCAGCCTGCAGAGAGCTCTTTGCAGAAGTGGAAAATTCACATATTTCTCCACTAAAATAAAAACCATGTTTTTCTCAGTTAAAGGGAAAATCCATGTTTTTTTCCTGTTTTTCCATAGGAAACAGAAAACCCAGATCCCTGCTTATGATGTATTACAGGCACCTTGTTTAATTCCTTTGGAAGTACCAGGTAGTGAGTACAGAGCTGCAGGTTTCCCTCATCATCAGCTCTGCACCAATTACAGTGTAGTAGCTGTAGCAAATGAGACTGAGCACTGTCTCCATCTCCCACTCCTGGGGCACCTGCCCACATTACTCAGTAAGGCTCTGACCCTCCCACCTCCCCCCCCCACACAGAGCTGCACTGAAGCCCTTTATTTATTCACAGAGTGTAGGCTTCCTCATGCTGCTTCACCAATGCACATCAACTGTGACCTTGAGACACCATCCTCTCCTGGGATGAGCATGTTTTTCAGTCCCAGGCATCTCTGGAGTGAAGACTGACAGTTCTTTAAAAGGGAAAAAAATAGCAAGTGGGAGGAATGACAGTCTGAAGAACACTTTGGTTTAATGGGATAAAACTGCACGTGGTGAAACTTACCCCAGTTGGCAGGTCCCTGGCCTCAAAGAGGGTCTTACAGTGACCCTACCCTTTAACAAGGGATTGAGGTAATTGGTCTTTTTGCCAGTGGAGAATGAGCTAAACAATTCCACTAGCATGGCTTATTATTTGCAATCTCTTTGTTCCCTTCCTGCCCTGTCTCCTCTGTCTCATGTAAAAGTGCTTTCCACATTATGATGATTGCAACTGCTTCCATAAAACTCTTTAGTATTCTGAGCTGGAGTGAGAACTTATTTTCAACTACAAGTGGCTTTGATTACCAGTGTGATCCTAATACCACTGAATGCCATTGATTCAATTCTATGGAACTGAAAAAGGGTGGTGTTGGTGTCAGGGACCTGCAAAATGCCTTGGGAGAAGAGGGTACAATCCCTCACCTCACCCTGGTAAGTGCAGAAAATACATTTCTGTTCAGATTGTAGGCTCTTTGGGGCAGGGGCTGTCTGCTACTCTATGTATATATGGTACCTAGTGCAAGAAGGTCCTGATCTCATTTAGGATCTCTTGGTGCTCCAGGTACACACTCCTAGGTAAAGCACTAGGGCTGGGACTTAAAAGACCTGGCTCTGCCACTGACCAGCTGAGTCAGCTTGTCAAGTGTCCTCCCATCAGTAAATGAGTGGTGATGACAATTGTGCTCTTTCTTGTGAAGAAATTGACAATTGTGCTCAAATCACAATTGACCATTGTGCTCTTTCTTCAGTGTGATCATGATTACAATACAAAGTATTGGTATAGCTGCACTGATGAAACACCCCTACTTGGGCTGGGCTGGAATAGCTTTGACAGATATTAGAAGAAAACTTGACCTTAAGCCACTGTTCATGGTTTTAGTTTGTGTCTGTTTACATCAAAATAATACCTTCCAGATGAATTAAAATGGAACAAACATGATCATTATCCTACAAGGCAGAAATTTGAGGCTACAGAGCCAGCCTCACCTCTGAGAGAGAGGTGTTCACATAACCTAGGTGCAGTTTGGATGTTACCTCAGGCTAGCTGCTGCAAGGAAAACACAACTTGAGCTACTTTACCTGCTAATGATCACCGATAGGCTCAACACAGTTCAAATGACATCCCCTTTCCTTCTGCTCCCCTGTTAGTAAGTGCCAATGTAATGAACAGTGCTGTTCCCCACGAGTTACTTTGGGCCAGGTTCTTTATGGTACTTCGGGCACATAAAGATGCAGATCAGATGTGGTTGGATTTTCAAAAGGCATATGAACCCTGATCTACAAAGATATTTAGGTGCCCAACTCCTATGGACTATTAGTGGGAAAAATGCCAATAGGTGGCTGTTTAGATATTCTGACTCCCTTAACTTTCTGGTCTTTAGTGCCTAACAACTGTGGCAAAGCGTATCAGAGGCTGCGGCATATGCCCATGGGGCTAAAATGTGCCAGAAATGAATAGATAAAAAGGAACATTTTAGAACATATGTAGTTACTGAATGTCCCAGGTAGAAAGAGGCAGCTTTCCTGGGAGTAATACCAAAAGCCAGAGAAAGGAACAGGCCACATAAGCTGTATTTCAAACAGTTTTCTAGCTGTACCCAGGAGCCAAAGGCGATGACAATGGGACATGTCAAAGTCTTGTCTACTTTCCCTGGTCTTCCTGTTCAGTTTCATCTTGTGTCATGTACAGTCATGACAGCAAAGCCAGTCTCCCACTTCCCTCCTAACTCAGACCGTGAATATTTCTTTCAGATCCTAGAATACCCAGACCCTGGGTTTGCACAAAGGTGACTACACTATGGCTCTTACCCAAACTGGTTCAACCAAAGGAAGCAAGAAGCTTTGCAAACCCTACAGCCAGTGGATCTCTCCCTGCACTGAGTGAACAACATGGGCTATCACTGTGGGAAAGGCTGGTGTGCAGAACCTGCCAAATACCCTAAATCTATGAAACTATGAAACCAGTGCTGTGAAAGATGTGCAGGGAGACCTACGGTGGGACCCAGACCCAGGATCATTCTGAAGGAAGACCTCGATGGTGATGAAAATCACTACAATTCTTGGAGCTTCATGCCAACCACAAATAGATTGGGGAAGAAGGAGAGCCTATGATTGCTTCTGTACTGTAGATAAGAAACAGAAAGGGCTACACAATGACCTGCTTGAGAGACAAGGGGCATGATTCTGTGGGGGGTTTCCACTTTTTTCCTCTCGCATTTAATTTGGCTTTTGGATATCCCTTGAGGAAGAATTCTTGCTAAGGTGCAATTCTTTCTCCCAAGTCTCTGTTGGGAGAGACATACATACCATGGGGTTTCCTCTGCACACTTTTGCGATGCCTGGGTTCGAATTTCCAGAAAACAACTATCTCAATTTGCTGGATTGCCCATGACCTGCAGAAAGGCAGCCAGCCCTGCATGAACAAATGTATTTATTGTGTTTACAAATTCAAGGAGCCAACAGGGTGCAGGTCTGAGGAATGGATATGGTCAGGCTCTTTGTGTAGATGGGCACTTGGAATGAACTGAATTGGGTGATGCATCCTGGACTTCGGGCTGGGACTGCAGCATGACAAAAGAACAGATCATGGTGCATAGTGCCAGGAAAGACAACCAGCTCCTCCGGTATCTGGTTTCATGCTGGGCTGGCTGCCTAGCCACATCAGTAAACTAATGAGACAAAACAGGGTCTGGGGAGCTGGCTGAGAGAGTTGAACAAAAGCTCGGGTGCAGATTAATGTTCTCATTGGGCTACCTCATGAAAAGTAAGGAGGAATATGAGCCATGACAGATGGGGAGTAAGGCTCAGACTGGGCATCAGGGAAACCCTTTCCAAGAGTGCAATTAAAACCACTAGAAACCTGTCATTGAATGACACAGAATTAAACAAAACTCTCTTGGAACCACCAGCCAGGACAACTCTTGCAAAGTAGAAGTAGGGCTTCTGGCATAAGAATACTATGCTGATTTCTGCTCCAAGTAATTTCAGCATAGCAGCACTGGTAAACTGTGTCAGCATACGTATCTGGGTAAAAGTCCCCTTGTGGGAACTCATCCCAGAGTACAGTGGATTTTACTGATATACTTATACCTGTAGGATTTTGCCAACGTAGCTGTTTTCCCATGTAGACAGGGCACAACTTACTCACCACGCAGTTTTTCAAGTCTGGCAGTCTTTAAAGACCTACATGAGAACTACCCATGAAGTCAATATTGCCAGTTACTAGTTCCAGCAGTCTGGGAAAGGTGGGCATCACATACATCATATACTGTCCTGTAACAGCTTTCTGGTCAGAACTGACAATTTCACCTCATTAATGAAAACCAGGTTATTGTTTTCCTCATCAAAAATATACATCAGATGCATTTCTTCATGTGCCCCCAAGTAAAAGTTTATTGGATAAGCCTTTTAATACAGCATTTATTCTTACAAAGTTTTTGACAACTTGTTTCATTCCTGGAGTACAAAAATAACAACTTCTTAAAAAAAATGAAATTAGGAAAACTTTAGCTCTGTATTTTTGGAAGCAGGCAAATTGTTTTTGTTTTATATCTTATTATGTAGTTCTGTCTGTTAAAAGCAAGACTCCCACATTGTGGAAAACTGTAAAACATTTAATTCAAGATGAAAACCCAACTGCTTGCCTGTTATAAGTCATTAACAGATGTCCTTGCCATATACTTTACGCAGCAGATACAGATTATGTAACAACGCTCAACTCCTTTATCTGTGCCTGCCACTTCACCTTGCAGTGACATGATGATGATTTGTGACCTCACAAGAGTTTGTATGATAGAAGACTGTCATGTCATAAGCACAACACAATAACCTCCCTGCAGACTCCACTTGGGAGAACAGGAAGAAAATGATTCTCTGTGCCCTAGAGAAAATGACTTAACCAAGCAGACTGTTTTCGTATCATAGTTTTTTTCCTCTTCCCTGTCCTTCCTCAACCTCTCCACCAAACAATGTGACAGCTTCTCTTTAAAGTCAGGAGGCAAGGGAACTATAGGCCCCATGCTGAGGGATATAGGACCCTTTCCCCCCAACACTGAAAACTAAAAAACCCACCAGGCCAAACAAACGAACAAAAAATAATCAACTTTTTGTTAACTTATAGACTAACGCAGACTACCAAAATTACAGTATGATTTCACTTATGTATGCTCACCAGATGGAACTGCTGAAGAACAGAGGGAGGCAAAATACTCTCTCCAAGGAACAGTGTCACAGGCTTTGTGCTCCTTGTCTTTACACATCCTGGTTTGACATGCATTCAAATCTTACATTAAATTCTTAGCAGAGGGTCAAAAAAATACCATGGCAAAGTGGTGATGAGTGAAGCCCTACTCCCCACACCCAGGTTTGTTACCAGATTAGTATCTGGATTTCTGTTTGCATTTTTTGTTCCTTTGTTTTATAAGGAATAAGTTCTCATGAGTGGTGGGATTCCAGTCTCTCTCATTTTGCTGTTTTTTTTTCTTCTTTTTAACTGCCTCTGCAAGTTCCTGGGTGTTTTTCATTTTGTCACTATGTGGCTGGAAGACAGAGCGACGATACTTTTTGCTAGCTTTAGGCACATGTGCTTTGCATCCTCTAGGAAAGTCCTCCTCTCCATCTTGATTCTTTTGAATACTTTTCCTCTGCTTCTTGTCTTTGTGTTTGTCTGCCTGGGACTTTTTCTTGGGTTTTTTGTGATGCTTTTCTTTTTTACTAGGCTTGTCATGCTCTTTCCAAAGCTTTTTCTTTTTCTTATGGCAATGCCTCATGTGCTCTTCCTCCATGCATGGTCTCTTGAATTCTACTGGCAGAAGGCCTACTTCCTGCAGTTCTGTAAAATAACAACAGGTTATTTTTAAAAGATATAAGCCATAATGCCTGAAAATCAAAGTTGTTTGGCATTCCTAATTCCTAACTGCATATGTGGACCCTTGCAGGCTGGATAGATATCTGAAGAATTTGAGAAAAACTCTTGTAAAAATTTTGCTAAAAATTGAGGCAGAAGTTTATCGGATCATTTTAAAGTTCAGCAAAAACCAAAAGAGTTACAGTAAAAATTTGCCGGGAGATTCCACAGTAACTTTCTTCACACTGAATATGCTCTATTTAAAGACGATCATTTTCCATCTGCCAGCCTACTTATGCAGGCTAAGATTTTGAAAGTTAAACTGTCTTTTCTTTCTTTGATATTTCCAGCAGTGTTGGCACGAATAAAAGGAAAATTGACATTATTGGCAATCAGCTTTTTTTGCCTGAACAGCCGGTTATGTCACCAATAAATGCTGTGTGCATGAGCACAGCTGCAACATGCACATGGCCAGTCCGGGAGCTTGGAGAGAAGCGACTGGCTGGTAAATCTGTTGGTGGGGAAGGGGCAGGGCAGATCGAGGCCCCCATGGTGAGGGAGGAGGGGAGTTGGGCCTGGGGCAGGTGCTGTCTACGGGATGGAGCTGCAAGCAGCTCATCTGTGTGCACCCCCAGGGGAGTCATGGGGATGGTGGTGTGCCCCCTGGATCTGTGTGCAGGCCAAGTGCGGGCTGCTGCTGTGGGCTGGGCCTGGGAGTGGCACTGGCCTCTTTCTGCGGGGGGGGGG